GAGCAATATGTTCTATCATTAATGTATTTACTATCTAGACAATGCAGTCACTCAGTTTGCAGGTAATTAGAGTTAGGTCTGAAGATCAGCCATGGTCTTATCAAATGGCGGGGCAGGCTCGAGGGGCCGAATGGCCTACTCCTGCTCCTAATTCTTATGTTCTTATGTTTTTGACTGATGATTAAGCTTTTGTGTCCTCTTAGCATCGTTGCAGATTGGACTAAATCAAAGCCATTCCATCCTTCAATTTGCTTACTGTGGAATTTTTCACATGCTTCCATCGTCTCAGTATATGTACTACTATGCACTGTGCTCCATGTGAACTTGAAGATTTTATGCCACTATTAATCTGGACACCTTTGGTATATTGCTATCTGGGAACTGCTTTATAAAAACACCTATAGCCACATCAGGTTTTCTTCAAAGCAAAAAGGGCAAGAAGAACTGTCAACAATATTGAAGATTTTTATCAATTGTTAATTTCAAGAGTAGCCTTTTTGAGAACCCGTGCATTTTGGAGAACTTTTATTCCAATACATAAGCAGAGACACGATTTGTTCAATGTGCATGATATAAAAGGGTTTACAACAAGTGGAAACCAATAACCTCATAATCCACTTTGGGTTTGGGGAAGGTTTGCTTATGAAATGTTTGCTGATCCAATAAATGCTTGATAACTTGACTTTGGCTTAGCTTGTCAGTACCACTTCAGTAGCCATACTGTCAGTATCTCAGCCACATGTACAGTTGGGATGCATGGGATTCTCAGTTTGATTTGGATACTCTTAAGCATGGTAATCGGCTTCCGCATGTGTCAGACACTCAACTGACCCCCCAAAACAAACTCCTGGCCGCTTCCTATGTAAAATGTTAATAAGGGTCTCCACTTTACTTGTCATTCCACTTAACATGTAACTAGTCACATTATAGAAATTCTTGTCAGTACTTACAATGTAAAATTGAAAACTCATTCTATAAAATGGCTTCCCGCCCTATCCTGTGAGTGGCATGGGCGCTTGGCAGACATTGGGCGTACATGCTCAGATGCATTGTAGAGGCCTCTGGCCTATTGGAAGGCAGCTACTGTGGTTTCCCATCCCATCTCCTGCCTTTGTGGAGTCCTGCAGCTCAATGGTTAGAGCACTCGCCTTGCAAGCGAGACACCTGGGTTCAATTCCAGGCAGGGCGAAACCTTGGGCAAGTTTCCTTACTCCACACGCCTGATAATAATCCCTCCAAACAACAGAAACAATGATAAATTGGTCATTTTCAATCCACGACTGTTTGTGGGACACTGCTGTGCGCAATTGGCTGCCGTGTTTTGCCCACAAATATACGGTCAATTCACTTTCCAGCATATTCTGTGAAATGCTTTGAGACAGCTAGAAGACGTGAAAAGCGCTATATCAAATGCAAGGATTACTATATTTTTTATTATTTCTTGTTTGATAGAATCCAAACCCACAAATATGAAATCTTTTGTAAGCAAAACTAGAGACTGCTGGTTGTGATTTTCTAGGTGTTGTCTGCTGCTCTGGGCAAGTCAGTGTAACAAATCAATTTGTTATAGTGGCATGTATAAAAGGCTCAGCTCAAAATGTAATTAATGAATCTATACATTGGTCAAGTTACCCAATTGTATATGCTTCTGGGCAGCTAACTGACTAAAGTAACAAGAACTGCCAATAACTGGGAACTGATCAGATAAACTGAAAAATGTGTGACCCCAAACCATCTCCTAAGTGAGAGAGAAGGGAGCAACCAAGTAACAACAGTGAATGTGCAACAAACCAGAAATGCTCCCAATTAAAAGGATTCAACTAGAAATATGAAGTTTGAGTTTTAAATATCAAAAATCCAAAGATAAATGATATACCAAACACAGTTAAAGTGAGCTAATGAACAAAGCAATTTGGGATCGTAATTGCAGTTGAGCTTTGCTTCCTTTGACAAAAGCAAGAAGAAGGCAACATGAAATTCAATTAACCCATCCCAAAAGGGATTCAGATAAAGAAGGTCCTTCACTTCAATTGTCCTTATCCTTCCAGAACACCCACCCTTCCATTCTCCGATCACAGCAATAAGCTTTTTTAAATGAGTCCAATATCACAACTTGAACCATCCTTTCTGGCAACCTTGTTCCAGTTGTTAATTACTTTCTGGTTAAAGTATTACTTCCTTGCCTCTGTCCTGAAATTGGGCTTTGGAACTCTAAACCGATGCCTTCTAGTTCTGCTGCCTTGCCATATCTAAAAGTAAATTAATGAGGACATTTTGCTCAGAAAAGTTCATGTAACCTTGCGATGGACAATCTGGATAGCTAAGCACTTTGGAGGTGGAAAGAGGGCAAAACGCTTAACTCTTTAGAGATCCCCCACTCTCCTCACACATACACACAAAATGTGGTTATGTAACATTTTGTAAATTCTACTGAAAAGTCCTTGGATTAAAGCCAGTCTATGCAGTAATAAAGTGTGGATCATTTGTTTTCAATGATACTGAAGTATCCAAAATCAATATTTGAAATTCAAGCAGTTCAGTGAAGCATATGATCCTATATCATAGAATAGAATAATGATTCGGAAATTCATAGCCTCCTCAAGGATTTTAGGGATCAGCTGCTCATAAGGCACTCAGAGGATATATAGAGTTAAATAATGGCCATGATAGAAAATTATCATTACCGATTTTTAAGAACTGTTTAGCACGTATAGTTAATTTGAGAGAAAGAGATAGAAGATAATCATGTTTTATTTAAACACTGCAGCCAAAGTCCACTGAACAGCAGTAAGACCAGGAGCCAATTAAAGATTTAACCTACAGAACACAACTTCATTTTTGAAGTTTTTGTTCGTGGCACAATAATATTATTATTATTATTATGTGAAAGAATAAGATGCTTCATAACATCCCATAACAGTGAACATTAATAAAGAGAACCAATCGAAAGCAACACATTTATTTAAAAAGGGCAATTTCAATTATTGCAAAGCCGAAGGCATAATGCCACAATAGTAAAGCAATGAAGGTAAGTAGAGTGTTAAATCGTATCATTTCCTGATCTCAACCACAGTAACAATTGGAACATAACAATTGGTTTCAATGCCTCTGGGTTAGGAAAGGATGCATCAAACAGTTTCCATAGTTTATCACTTCCCATTGACCGATGCTGGAAAGTGCACATATGTTGAATGTCAGTTGAGATCAGTATCAAGCTGAACTGTGATACTGCTTCCCACACACTCTCTCCTCCCTCCTCCACCCCTTCTCTTCCCTCCACTGCTCCCTCCTTTCCCCTAACCCCCACACCTGCCCTCCATGGCTGAACAACCTGCCAGCACTCATTGTGTAGGTTCACAAATGAGAAATGGTCATTTGGGCAAGGTCTCGGAGGGCTGCTGGTACTTGTGGACTGTACATCAACAGAGTCAGTGTCTTCGGGGAAGAAAATAGGAGAAAATTGGAATTGGAAACAACACAAAATCGAAGCATTCTACAAATGCTGCATTTTCTGTATGCAGTGCACTTTTTAAATATACTTCATGCGTAATATTGCTTAAAGATTCAATCAAAACAAACACATAGGGACATACGTAAGAGGCACAAGTACGCCAGGACACTTACATTCACTCGTCTGTTTTTTCACCACATTGAACATGAAACCATTCTCTCATTCAATCAATGACTGAATTCGCTCATGCTCCATGTTGCGAAAAAACAGTGTGTGTGTGTGCCTGCATGCACATGCATGCACATTGTTTTATAAAAACCTCTTCTTTAATACTTTTCTTTGTAAGTTCCATATAATTCACCTGAAAATTAAATTATTTAAAAAGTAGCAGATTTCGCACAAAATGGCATATTTGTTCATATTCACATTCATAAAATCATGAATGATTTTAGAGGATAAATAGAGAAGGACAACATCCACTGATTAGTGATTCAGTAATAAAGGGGCATAAAGTGAAGACTTATCACCAGGAGACATAAGGAGTGAGGCTGGAAGAATGTTTTGATATGAGTGTTATTAGAATGTGAAATCTCCAATGACACAATTGAATGATTACAAGCTAGTAATCTTAAACAGTTAAAATGAGATGATGCTGCATAAACATTATCTGACCCCAAAATGATTCAGCATCTATTGTTTGGACTTATTTTACTGAGGACAGTTGGGACAGTAACTTCCTTACAATGAATGAGGCTTCCTGAATGATTAACCACTATTCACCATACCTTCTCCAGTCCTGATATGCAAGCAGTTGTCAGAAATAGCTCAATATATATTATATCATTTATATAAGTGTCTGTTAAAAAATAATTTAGCTTAAAATACTAAACATCTCTGTTTTCCTCTTTTCAACAACACATTGCATTTATATAACACCTCTCACATTGGGAGGTCATCCTAGGGTGCTGGACAGTTGAGGATTTGCACCCAAGGTGGGAGTTGGATTAGGGAGGGTCCAAGGGGGTGGGGGTGGGAAATGACCGAAGGCACAGTCAAAGAGACTGGTCTTGAGATGGACCTTGAAGGAGACGAGGGAAGGGGTGAGGAAAAGAGACTCCCGGATGGAGTTTCAGAGAGTGGGGACAGAACGCCTGAAGGCCCGACTGCTGATGGTGGAACAGGCAGACCAGGGGGCATGAAGCAGCCAGTGCCTGTTAAGCAGACAGAGCGGTGGGTTGATAGGGTTTTACAAGGTCACAGAGGTAGGTGGGGCAAGACCATGGAGGGATTTAAAAGTGAGGACGTGGATCTTGAACTCAATCCTCTGGGGGATGGGGAGCTGGGCGAGGGTGGGGGAGATAGGCTAGCAGATCCTAGTGCGGAGGAACATTAATGCTGAGCCTCAGATTCCTGGTCATGCATTCTTGACCATTTCTGTCAGAAATGAGTGAGATCAAAGTGACCTGAAATGTTAAACAATACAACAATCTCAAATGACTTTATGAAGTCAATGACCCTATTCTGGGTCCAATATTATATCTTCATCAACTTGAGGAAAAGTGAGATCTTCATCTCATTCAGATTCATGAACTAAGGAATCTTTTTTGAAGAAACGTACATTCCTTAGTAACCTCCAGACACCCACATAGTTCTCAGTCACTAGGTTGCTCTGGGGGTCAGTCTGTGCTGTGGGCAGGGTCCCATTCTCCACAACACTGTGGCTGGGATTCTCCTGTAGTTCATGCATTTGGGGGGTGGTTGCTGGAGACTTGATCTGCTCCTCCTCGTCCTCCTTGGTTAATTGTTCCAAGTCATCATAGTTCTTCTGCATCCTAGTCTCATAGTACTTGACCACACAGTAGAACACGGAGCCCACAGTGTTGACTACCACGCCGGCTATGAAGAGGGAAGTGGGTTCAACGTCTCTGAAAGCCACCATGCCCACAGTAATGGTGGCGATGCTCTTCACCACCCCGACGAAGCTGGTGGTGACGGCAGAGTTGATGTAGGTGCAGTGCAGGGTGGTGAAGTTCATAAGGCAGCCGATCAGAATGCAGAAGACAACGGTGCAGGGGACGGCGGGGTCTTGCCAGCCCGGGAAGGACCAGATGTGGATGGCATCCAGGCTGGCAAAGGTGCCGATCAGCAGCAGTGGAGAGGCGGTGACAGCGATGGTGTACTGGGCGGTTAGGGGGCCATAGGTGCTCTCACTGCCTACTTTCTGTATCACCACCAGGTAAGCGGCATGAACCAGCACCGCCAACACCCCGGTCACATAGCCCAGAGTTTCCCCGGTCAGGTCACCAGCTCCTGCACAAAAAAACACACACATCAGGTCACACAGAAATGTCAGGCTAACACTGTGGTTAAGTGGTTATGTGGAACACTTTGGGGAAACCTCAAAGCCAATAGAATCGCGATTCGACCCAAACAGCAATGGGACCAAATGTATCTTTATAGTTCATCAATCTATTCTTAAACAAGAATAAAAACAGTGATAAGGAGTACATTTCAACAATAGAAATTACTTCCAGAGCATTGGAAAATCCCAACAGTGTATGTATATATACATATATATATGTATATAGGAAGAGAATATTTATGTATATACTGTATTCAAAAATAGTGGTGTTCAGAACATATTTCAGTGGAACAGTTAGAAGCTTCTCGCAAATGTAATAAGGCCCTGAAAGGAATCAGACTGCTAAAAGCATGTGTTGAAGCATCCAAAACTTTGCTTTGATATTTGTGTGTATATTTGGTTAGACTTTTATGTCAGGTTATTAACGCCTGGTCAGCAGAGAGGGCACCAATCCCAAGTTGCATTGTCACCTGCATCGTATCAACTATCGATTTATATTATAAATATACATGATATATAATATAACATGTTGCAGTGATAAGAGAACATCGCAAAGACCTGCCCAGTTTTGGGGGGGACTGTAGAGTACTGACCTGCCAGCAGTGCTCCACACGTAGTGAGGAGAACAGCTGAGATGACCCCGATGGAGGGAACACCGTTCTTGAGAACCAAAACGCCTATCACTAAAGTGACGAGAGGTAAACAGCGTTTGAAGACCACGTACATCGGAAGGCTGAGCCCCCGGAGTGACCAGAGGGTCAGGCTGGACTGCAGGGTGGACAGGAGGGTGACTCCGGCAAAGGCTTTGGCCAGACTGCAGCTGTACGGTGGCACGTCTATCCTCCCCATCCTCCTGAGCAGCTCCAGGGTGAGAGCCGCGGTGCTGCTGGTCAGGCACTGCACCAGGGTCAGGAAGGTGAAATTGTATCTGGAAATGAGGAGCTTGAGCAGGATATTGAGAGACCCGGAGAAGACCCCGTGAGCCACTGCCACTGAGATGCCGAGCACACGGCCCCTGCAAAGCTGCATTTTGGTCCAGGTGTTTAGTTTCACGCAAAAGCCCAGGGATCAGTCACTACACCGAGAGCCCGCAGCCTGCAGGGACCCAGCTCTCCCACTCTCTGCGTGAAACTTTCATTCATCAATCTGCAGAGGCGGGGAGCTGTGCGTGTGTGTGCGTGTGTGTGTGTGGGAGGGGGTGGGGTGGGGGGGGGGGGGGGGGACACCAGAGCACAAAGCGATCAATAAAACAATTTATTAATCGTTGCGCATTTCAGCTGTTGCAAAGCCAACTCTCTTGAAAAAAACACACACACACACACTCCGGAACTGCTGAGGCATTGGGTTAGCAGCAGCTGAGTCTGCAGCTTGACATGTAGCTAATAAAGTAAGTACTGTGCACTTGATGTTCTTACTATTCATTTCGCCCATGTATTGCTGATCTGGTAGTGAGCCGCTGCCAGGGGTCTCCAGTGCCTCTCATAAACCACCAATCCAGGACATCATCCACTTACATATAAACCTTGACGCTGTCCAAATTGACATCACTTCTATTTCTTTTAAAAAAAAACTTGCCCTTTGAATAAATGAGTGTTGCAATTCCAAGACAACCCCACAATATTTCCCGGTGCAACACCCTACCGCTTGCACCCATCTGACATCAACCAGATAGAATGGACCTGGAGCACATCAGTGGAAAGAGTTATTGTGATTTAAGAAAGGGCTCTATACACTGAGCCGAGGGCCAATGTGAATCTGAGAATGTTGTAAACAGAGTGGATTTCCTCTCACAGGGAGAAGTTATTGGTATTAATAAGAACATAAGAATTAGGAGCAGGAGTAGGCCATTCGGCCCCTCGAGCCTGCCCCGCCATTCGATAAGATCATGGCTCATCTATTCTAACTCCACCTACCTGCCTTATCCCCATATCCCTTAATCCCTTTATCCACAAGAAATCTATCAATCTGTCTTGAATATGTTCGAGGACAGAGCATCTACAGCCCTTTGGGGTAGAGAATTCCATAATTTCACTACCCACTGAATGAAGACATTTTTCCTCAACTCAGTGTGAAAGGGCTTTCCCCTAATTTTAAGACTGTGATCCCTGGTTATAGTTTTTCCAACCAGGGGAAAAGGTCTCTCACTATCTATTCTGTCGTGCCCCTCAGTAATCTTGTAGGTTTCTATAAGATCAACTCTCATTCTTCTATATTCTAGAGAATATAGGTCTAAATTGCTCAACCTATCCTCATGACTCATCCCCCTCATCCCAGGTACCAACCTGGTGAATCTACGTTTTACCCCCTCCAAGGCGAGTACATCCTTTCTTAAATAAGGAGACCAAAACTGCACACAATACTCCAGGTGCGGTCTCACCAGGGCTCTATACAGTTGCAGCAAGACTTCCCTACTCTTATATTCTAACTCTTTTGTAACAAATGCCAACATACCGTTAGCCTTCCTAATTGCTTGCTGTACCTGCAAACTAACTTTTTGTGACTGGTGAACAAGGATAATAATAATTATTATTATTATTTGCTATAGTGCCTTAACACGTCTTATCACGTCTTCGAGACATCTTAAAGTACTTCACAGAATATACTGTAAGGTGAATTGACTGTATATTTTCTGGGTGAAATGCGGCAGCCAATTGCGTAAAGCAGTGTCCTACAAACAGTTGTGGATTGAGTGACCAAATTATCTTTTTATTTTGAAGGATTACCCCAGGAAAAATGATCTGCCAATTGACTAACAACTGGGTTCCTACTTACTGTTAGGCAAACAGATGCATGTGGAATACCAAACTTTCACAATGTTTCGCCCTTCCCAGGAATCAAACTCAGGTTCTCTCGCTTGGGAGGTGAGTGCTCTAACCACTAGCCATGGGAATCCATTAATATCTAACCTCCAGAGGGATTAGATGTAAAATATTTTGTACCTAGTATAACACCACAAATGGAAACAGCAACAACAATAAATTGCAGTTATATATCGCCTTTCAAGTTGGAAAGCAAATGAATATATCATACTCTTCAAATATAATTGCAATGCAGACTAAAGTTAAATCCTGATGATTTCAATAAATTAACTGAGACCGGCCAATGTGTGTATTGGATCATAAAGATCCCACAGCCTTAGTGAATGGAAGAAAATCCACAATGAACACCTAGTACAAGGTGGCGCTTAACCAGCACTGTATCAATGGTTATGTTTATTTTAAACTTAAGAGCACACACACTTGTATTAAAAACAAAGTCAAATGTTTAACCTTTAATGTTTCCACCAAAAAGTATAATTTATACACACGTTTTTGAGTTTCAGTTCCCTGCATTGAAAAGAAAGGGATGTTTGGAAACCAAATTATAACTTGCAGTGACTACACCATATTAAAAGCAACACGACGGTATATTCGTCTCAGTTTCCAACTTGCATTTTTGTCATCCACCACTATGCCTATACTTGCAATTTCATTGCTTCATGTGGAGATCGTGAAGCTCTCATTCTCACTCCAAACGTGTCACATACTTCGCGAATAATTTCACAAGCTTGAATTAAATCTATAAGACTGATGGGCTGCCCCATTTCTCACAAATTAATGTTTGAGCTGCTGCAAGGTCAACACCTGTTTTGTACAGTATTTTCCATTGATTTATTTTAGTGACCCACAATGGACACTGCAAACACATGTTGAAGGAAACAATTTAGTGCAATCTTGTTACAAAGAGGTAACCCTGGAGGTTTGTGAATCTGTGTAATCTTGAAAAACACTGACTGAATTTCTCCTGATGAATTATTGTGAGATAGGTGCTAACTCTCAATAAAGAATTCTATTCCTTACCAATAATGTCTAGCTCCTTTCCCCTTTTGCTGGGCATATTTAACCCATGAAAACCTGATGATAATCCCTCAAGAAAAAAAACAATAATAAATTGGTCATTTCAATGCATGACTGTTTGCAGGAAACTGCTGTGCGCAATTGGCTGCATTTCACCCACAAATATACAGTCAATTCACTTTACAGTCTATTCCGTGAAGCACTTTGAGACATCTAGAAGACGTGAAAAGCGCTATATCAAACTCAAGGATTATTATTATTATTAAAACACTGTTGCTGTGAATCACACTTTAAAGTGGACAGATGAGAGGAATTTCAGGGGTATGATTGCTAGGCACATGCATAGTAACCTGCACAGGTGCAGAGAAAGTCTCAATTGTAATAACCAGACTTGGGAAGCCAACCTCTCCCAGAAATTTGGTAATTTCTACTGCAATGTTTTGTATCTTTATTGCAGGGAACCAAGGACACAGGTAAACTCTCAGAATCCAAGTATATATTTTTGTTTCACCATGGCCTCAGGGATCTTTCAAACCTTCACTCTAAAGTTACTTTCACAGTGTATGAATAAGGGACTTGCATTTTCATAGTACCTCAATAAATCGGCTTGATACAACCACTTGATTTAGCTACGGGGTATCCTTGTGTTCAGAATGCCAGATGTTGACCAAAGAGAACTCAAGCTCTATTTTGTTTAAACATCTCTAGCTCTGTGTCAGAACCAAAGAGGAGCTTAGTTTTAGATTTAAGGTGCTCCCAGAAACAAACCTGCAAGTTTGTCACTTGGTATCCTAACATTCTGTTTGAATGTGGAGAAAATAAAACAAGATACAAACACAAGAATCCGTGTGCTGCACTGCACGTCAGTGTATTTGTTTGCATTTTAATAATTTAGCTTTTCTCCCCATCCAATTAACTTACTCCATTGTTCATAATGCTTCTATCAATGAAGGTTTATTCTGTTTTCGCACATCTGATTGTCTTTATTTGTGCGTGTGCACACAATTGATGTGGTAAATGCATTGTCCGGTGAACAACTTTACAAAACAATGAAAGACTTTGTGACAAGATCCTGGGACGTCAAAGATGCGTCATAATAGTTCACTAAAAAAAACACTAAATTGCGCAGCCCATATTTTTCAATTTAATAAATGTTAGACTCTTTTGAAGCCTGTGCAGTTGGAGTAAACTGCTGATAATATGACATAGTCTAAATGTACAAGGAAAAGCTTATAGATTTTCCAAATTGTTTTCTACAAATGTAATTATAAAACGGCACAGAACTTGAGATAGTTAATCAATGATCACACTATCACCCTGAGTTAATTCTAATGGCACAGCACTTGGTCCATATTCCACTACCCTATCACCAGAACCAGTTTGGATGTGCTCACTGTCCTACTTTTTTGGTTGTTTTGCACCATACAGTTATAAATGTGAAGATACCTGTTATAACAGTATTTCCACAAGTTTACTTATAGACAAGAGTAAAGCAGTAAATATTGATCAACTTTCCACTCTGAAAATGTTTCTTTCTAGAAATACTGCCATTTAATCTAAATACTGAGTCAGAAAAAAATCGGCTTGGACTTGCTCATTTCCTAGACTGTAACTGAAGGGTGCAACAGATTTGGAGGACAATAGCATTGCTAACTCTATACTTCACAGTTTAAGAGTGCAGCAATCACTTTCAGCAGGTTAAATCTTGAATCTCAGTGATATCATTTTACTCTTCAAGTATATAGCAGTAATTATGCATCAAAGTATAAAACGTGTTTTCCTCTAAAGCATTAACCCTTATGTTTGGAGTTAAAAAGGGCAATTTCAGGACAAATACCCAGAAGGATTTTTCTTTATCCAGAGGGTAATCAATGACTGAAACAGATTGCCAGGAAGAGTGGTTGAGACCAAGACACCGATCTCATTTTTTAAAAAAGTTAATGTTACGATGGGAAGACAGTAGGGTGGATATTCTGGAAGGATGAGAACAGATGGGCCAAAGGGCCCATTCATCCAAACCCATCTTGTGATCATGTAACTTGAACCTGGCTCATCAGCAGGACCTTGAAGGGCAGACAACTCACTAGGGGCAGGGAGTCATCCCACTCAACTCCTGTTAACCCTGCAGGGAAAAGCCCTAACGGGTAGGGTGGCCCTAGCTGGAGTTAATTCTAATAGCACAGCACTTGATGTTGCTTTCTGGCAAGCTATGCAGTTTTAGCTGGTTAGACTCCAGGGGTACCCCCAACACACACTCTGGGGTTTCACAAGCCTTGGCTCTTGCTAACCTGAGCCTAATACTTTCCAGAATTAGGTAAGCAGGATATGTCCCTCCAGGGAGAGAGTGTGCATATCATTAAAACAATCTATCTCTGGGATTTCCATGTGTAGATGGGATGCATGGCAATCTCAGCTTGGTTTGGATACTCTTAAGCATGGTGATGGGTTTCCGCCTGGGTCAAACACCCATGTAACGTCTAACAGGTCGAAGGAAATTTCCAGCCGCCAAGGCCAAACATTTTTAAAAAAAATTTCAGATCACAGCTTGAACCAAATGTGGATTTTAAAATAATAAAAATGACTCAGATGTTAGGAGCTTTGTTATTTTAACCCTCCACAAATATGCAAAACTATAAAGAAGAATAAATAATTGCCTTACTCTATTTACTCATTCTCTCCTTTGGTTTACTTTTATTACTTTAGCTTTATTTTGTCCCTATCAATTTTTTTAACACATTTTATAGTTTTAGTAAGTTTAACTTACTCTTTAGGACACTGCGGCATAAAGACGGCAACAGAAAGATGAATGTGGCTTGAGTTTACATCGATTTAAACTCACTAACTATATTCAAATGTACCACAGAAGGCAAATTAAAATAAAAACTTATAAACCTTGCATTTGGTATAACATCTTTCCCATCGGGAGGATGTCTCAAAGCACTTCACAGCATATATTGTAAAGTGTAGTGACTGTGTATTTGTGGGCAATACAATTGCAAATATGTGCACAGCAACATCCCACAAACAGCTGTAAAGTAAATGATCAATTTTAATTGGGGGAACTGTTGACTACAAAACCAGAAGGAACTCCCTTCTCCATTTGAATAGCGGCATGGGGTCCCTGAAGTCCACTTGAACAATAATAATAATCCTTGCATTTGATATAGCGCTTTTCACGTCTTCTAGACGTCTTAAAGCGCTTCACAGAATAGACTGTAAAGTGAATTGACTGTATATTTGTGGGCGAAATGCGGCAGCCAATTGCGCACAACAGTGCCCCACAAACAGTCAGAAGGATTTCGGTTTATAATAATAATAATAATCCTTGCATTTGATATAGCGCTTTTCACGTCGGGAGGACGTCCCAAAGCGCTTCACAGAACACACTGTAAAGTGAATTGACTGTATATTTGTGGGCGAACGCGGCAGCCAATTGCGCACAGCAGTGTCCCACAAACAGTTGTAGATTGAAAATGACCAATTTATTATTGTTTTTGGTTTTGGAGGGATTATTATTAGGTGTGTGGAGTAAGGAAACTTGCCCAAGGTTTTGCCCTCTGCCTGGAATTGAACTCAGGTCTCTCGCTTGCAAAGCGAGTGCTCTAACCACTGAGCTACAGGACTCCACAATCATCTCATTATTATCATCTCATTTGAAGGATGGCACCTCCAACAATGCAGCACTCCCCTCGCACTGTACTGACTTGGCAGCTTTGAATCTAAAGTCCCAATGTGTGGTTTCGAACCAACAAACTTCTGACTCGGAGGTGAGAGTGCTAACTGAGCCAAGCTGACTCACAAAGTTATATTGACCCCATATAACTAAAATAGATTTTTATATAAAAAAATCTGCTGGGATTAGTCTCCCCCAATTCCTTCCTGTTATGCTCTGTAATATGTACAGATAAAACTAAATTTATTTCATTGTACCATTTCCTTAGACTTTATGGTCATTTAAATCATTTAGAACTATATTAAAATGATTGCTCTCCTTTCCCAAGTGCAATTGATCCACAGATGCAGAAACACATAAACTTATTTTCCCGTCTGAATCCGTAATATTCATCAATTTGTTGAAGATGGTAGATTTCTTTGTGCGAATGTCAAGTTCCTGGGTCTTTACACTCAAAGAAAAAAATCAATCTTTTCCTAGACATGTTGTTCTAGGTCTTCCTGTGAGATCAAGTTTAATGACCAACTGTGAGGCAAGCTGGGGTATAGGTCTTCACAGTTTCATCCCAAGCACAGTCTGCAACCTGCAATCAGCAGAAAAACTTTGAATTAGCAATTATTTTCATCGATGCACACTGTTTACATAATTGCAACATAATTAAGAAGAATTCAAGTGATGGTAAATATTATAAAGTTACGAAAGGATATAAAGAAGCTAAAATATCAGGTTAGGAACTTGAGTTCACAAGATTGGTTTGGATGAAAAAGGCCCCTCTTATCTCATCCCTCCAGACACACCTACCCTACAATACTCCTGTGACAGCATCAAGCTACTATTTAAACGAGTCCAGTGTACTGGCCTTCAACCATCCTTCCTGCAACCTATTATTTAGCAAAATTGTTATGTCCCCTTTTGAAACTAAATATTGTATTTTAAATTTTTTTTGTGCTTTCCACGTCAAGTGGAGTGGTACAACTCCAGGTTTAATGGCATCAATTTGATTTTGTGGCGCACTCCCAAAAATACTTCAGGTTCCACATTTGGCCATTTACTAACATTAAAATATTACCCAGTATTTGATTCTGGCATGCACAAAGCTCAGTACAGTTTAAAGTAAAAGAGATTCGGAGCAGGAAACATAAATCTGAGTTCCCATGCTGAAATACTCTGCTATTGAAAGCAATATTTTATCGCGTCTATATGCTGGTTCTAAAAAAAAATTAATTATTGTGGTGGCTACTAATGTGAAGAATTTTATGCCACTGATCTTATAAAGGGTTAACCAGTGTCTTTGCTCTTTAGCTAATGAGCCTGCTTATGTGTGATAACTGCAATCTGTTAGCACCTATGTGTGAACAGAACATGAGGTAGGATCCACACACTACAACAGGCTAGCCCTCGCTAAACATCATTCCTCCCAAGCAGTGATTAACATACAGTGGGAACTTTGAAAATACATTTTTCAGATCAAAACATCTTATTTAAACTGTAAGGGGCTCAATCCTCATTTTCTTTAAATACACACAGTCACACCTCTTGACCGTAAATTCTGTGAAGCGCTTTGAGACGTCTTGACATTGCGCTAAGGCACTATATCAAATGCAAGCATGATTATTAATTCTAACAAACGGCAAAATACAAAAGGGCCCGGGGTGAGATAGCCATTAACATGTACTTCCACCAACCTAGTATACCTGTATTTGCTGCTTACTGCTCTACATCGGGGAGACCAAACACAGATTGCTTTGAAGAACACCTCCATTCCATCTGCAAGTGCAACCCTGAGCTACCGGTCGCTTTTCACTTTAATTCTCCTTCCCACTTCCACTCTGACCTCTCTGTCCATGGCCTCCTACACTGTTCCAAGGAAACTCAACCCAAGCTCGAGGAACAGCACTTCATCTAGCTGCCAGGCACCTTACAGCCCTCTGGCCTCAATATTCAGTTTAACCACTTCAGCCCTTAACCACGGCTCCCATCTTCTCTCAGCCTTGCCTCCCCCATCCCCCTCTTCTATAACTATTCACATATCCTCTGAGTCTCAGAAACATCTTTTCTTTCTATAAATTAAACACCTCTGATCTCATCACTTTCCTTCCTCCACCTAAATTTTTCCTTTTTCTTTCCCTGTCCCCTTCTCCAATTGTCCTTATAATTTTCCCCCTTCCAACATCCCCCAGTTCTAGCAAAAAGTCACTGACCTGAAACGTTAACTCATTTTCCTCTCTCCATAGATGCTGCCTCACCTGCTGTGTTCCCAGCGACTTCTGTTTTTATTTTGATTATTAAATCTACTAGTTGCTTTTGGAAGAAAAGCAAGTGCCACCTGAAGTTTGTGTCCTTCAGTTAAACAAACCATCACTACAATAAGGTGAGAGGTCAATTAAATCTATTATGTTAAATTTTACATTTCAACTTTTTCAATTTCATTGGTTAGAATGACTTATATTCTCCCTGATTTCCTCAGTACCACACACAGTATATAGTTTACACTTTGTGAATTGCTCCTGAGTTTTGCATTGTTCTAACCAGTAAGTAAACTTATTTTTGGTTAACTGAAAAAGTTTGCATCAGCTTGTACTAATTCTCTCTTCTGAAAAAGACTGGAAGCGTAGCAGAATCTGTTAAATCTAAAGGACTGGTTGTTAGGTTGAAAGACCCAAAGGACGTCCCAAAGCGCTTCACAGAATATACTGTAAAGTGAATTGACTGTATATTTGTGGGCGAACGCGGCAGCCAATTGCGCACAGCAATGTCCTACAAACAGTCGTAGATTGAAAATGACCAATTTATTATTGTTTTTGGTTTTGGAGGGATTATTATTAGGCGTGTGGAGTAAGGAAACTTGCCAAGGTTTCGCCCTGCCTGGAATTGAACTCAGGTCTCTCGCTTGCAAAGCGAGTGCTCTAAGCATTGAGCTACAGGACTCTAATTAATAATGCACTCTATTGGATTAGGATATCAGTAGCGTGCAATACTTAAGTATTTCCAAGATGTATTACTGTGTGTGTTAGAGTGAGCAAAACTTTACACCCCCATCAGAAATTCAAATGTCTCGGGCAAACTTTAGCAGAAGGTAAATTAAGTCATATTTCACCATGTATTGGTTTGAATCCCAACCTTGACACAAACTAGTTTCACCAGTTTCCTCCAGCAGTTGTAGCAATATGAGAGGTGCTATTTCATGTACATTGAGGCCTCCTACCACTTACACAAAGCTCAGCTCCCAGTAATTGAAAAGAAAACATATCAAGATACATAAATACCTATATTAAGAAACTATCTTCTAAGACAATCTGCAGGCAAATAAAGTGGCCACAGCAGTAAACATCACTGAACTCAAATTCCTTTGTAAGATTACACATGTGAATTCATCTTTCCTGCATGATTTGTTCTTATCCTATCTGCCTGCTCAAGTGGATATTAATGATCCCATTACACTATTCAAAAAGAGAAAGGAGTTCTCCCAGTGTCCCGGTCAACAATCCCTCAGATAAAATTGGTCATTCACTTTGTGGCTGTTTGTGGGACAATACTGTGTGCAATCTGATTGCAGCTTCACCTACAAATATAAATTACTTTAGAGTAAATAACAACAACATCATCAAATTGCATTTATATTGCACCTTTCATACCGAGAGGACGTCCCAAGGTGCTGGACGGTCAAGGGTTTGCACCCGAGCTGGGGGGCAAGGGGGATGGGGGTGGGAAGATGACCAAAGGCATGGTCAAAAAGTCTTGAGACGGATCTTGAAGAAGGTGAGGAAAGAGGCGAGAGGAAGGGATTCTGGGTTGGAGTTCCAGAGGGTGGGGGCAGAAAGGCTGAAAGCCTGACTGCTGATAATGGGACGGGCAGCACCGCAGGCTGTCGAGAGGAGGGAGTGGCAGGTTGGGAAGATTTTAGTGGAAGTAGCATGGGGCAAGATCATGGAGAGTCTTAAAAGTGAGGATGTGAGCCTGTGAAGCTCATGCAAAGCGCTTTGAGACATTTTAAGAACTGGATATGGTGCTACATCAAATGCAAGAAAATATGATTTTTATTTATTGAAACCCAAATTTTGCTCAAACTCAACTAATCACTAGTTCAGACTTAAACTATTGGATAACAGTGCCTCACCTAATACTGTTTCGGAAGTTTAGTTCAAATGAATGGTTTTGAAGCATGCAACATCTTTTTTTATCACTTATCGGTATCTTCTTTCATCCCTGAAGCAGTATCACCTGACAAAATTTTATAAGATTTTACCACGACTGCTTGTGGGACACTGCTGTGCACAATTGGCTGCCGCATTTCGCCCACAAATATACAGTCAATTCACTTTACAGTCTATTCTGTGAAACGCTTTGAGGCGTCTAGAAGACGTGAAAAGCACTATATCAAATGCAAGATTATTATATTATTATTATAAGATACTTCAGTCCTTTGCTCATCTGTCCCTTCCATCAATAACAAAACAAACTAACAATTTTTTAAATAATAGTGTAGTGAACTTTATTCTTTATATTTCAAAAGCAACTACTGAACTTGTTCATCACCTGTATTCTGCTTTATTTAATTGAGAATAAACTGCAAAAGTTTATTTCCCTTAATTTAACTCCCTTCACCACTATGTCTTATCTTCTAAAGTGTGGGTGATGAAACCTAATGACCCACGCTCTTCTTAACAGTGTTCATTCTGCTGATTCTACACTGATCGCTGCCAACTGACTAAGAACCGTTCTCCATTAATTCATTATGGCTTTGCATCTGTTCCATTAACTGATTTAATTTTCCCCATTGCTGTGTTCTCCAATTCATCATCAGATTTTATTCCTCAGCCACAAGGGACTTTCACAGCACTTCTGGGACAAAGTGATAAATCAGATATAGATTGCAGAAGAAGCAATGCACCAATATTTTGAGATGATGGAGGCAGAGAAAGGTGAAGGAAGAAGCTTTAATTCATGGGTCTACAAACAGAAAGGTTGCTTTTGAAGCCAGGTCATTTTGACATGGTTTTACGATTTGTATTCACAGGGATATAAAATACACAATGAGGCTACCATTTTTGTGTGGTAATAATGCTAATATTTTGCACGCTCTCAGATTTTGTACATCAAATGCAAATGTTATGCAAACGCGCTTTTTCAGGTTTCCATTTAACCAATAGCGTCTGAAGTGTAGCCTGACTGTTCTAAAGACTTTAGCACCTATTCCAGATTGAAAAAAGGTTGTTTACTCCAGGATTTCACTTGGACAGCAGTTCAAGAGCTCATGGGGTGAATCAGTGAGAACAATACAACTCTAACCTGCTCCTCAAAGGAAGCAAGACTCCATTAAAAAGTAAAAAAAGAGTTTTTGTGCTTGCTTTGGAACAAAGCTCAGTTCATGTTTAGGAGAGCAGAACACATAAGAACAATCTGCCTTGCCAGCTGTTCAGCTGTTTTATTTTCTGTTTTACACCAATGGTATTAATTGAACAAGGTCTGAAGAACTGTGGAGCAATAAATGGTGTCCAGTTCTGAAATAATGAGCACGTCATTGCATTTCACAATTTCAACTTCCCTATAGCATTTCTAGACTACTGTTTCCAAATGAGGGATCTGGAATTTTTTAAAACTACAGGAATAACTAATTTTCTACTGAGTGTAGAAGGGCTTAGTCACGTACCTGACCAGGGATATGCAAGTTGAAATCAAGGCCACATACAAACTCGGTGTGATGCTCCACTGTTTCAAGCAATGAGTCAGGCTTGGAAATATCCCAAAACCTATGGATTAAAACAAATAAAAACAACTCCAATAATTAAATGGGCACTTATGACTTGGAAGCATATTTGAAGTTATGACACAGTTGGAACTCTATTGAACAAACCGACCCGCACAATAAATTGAACTTATCCACTTTGGAGCTCCAAATACAGATGTTCAATGAAGGTCTGAGTGTGCATATAAAATTGATAACTCTCCAAGGCAAAAATGAACACCAACCTTTTTGGATATTTAACCCTTTTTTGAATAACTAACAACAATTGTCTTACTTTGATACCAATGACCAGTCTATCCTCTCCTTTCACCTCAACCTTCATGTTTCTATCCATGAATGGTTCAGATCCTACCTCTCACACCATCTCCACTTTATCTCCACAAATGGCCTCTCCTCCAGCCCCCGCAACATCTCATGTACTGTTCCTCAGGGCTCTGTCCTCGGTCCCCTCCTCTTCAACTTGTACATGCTCCCGCTTGGTGACATCATCCGAGACATGGGGTAAATTTCCACATGTATGAGGATGATACCCAAGTCTATCTCTCTTCCTCCACCCTCGACTCCAGGATTGTCTGTCAGACATCAAGTCCTGGACGAGAGCTAACTTTCTACAATTGAATGTGAGCAAGACCGATTGGCTCCCGTCAGCGCCTCCACACCTCAGGCACTGGCAGCATCACCATCCATGATTGCACGCTCAACCTTGCTAATAAGCCAGTCTGGAACCTTGGGGTCTTGTTTGACCTTCAAATGTCTTTTCTACCCCACATCCATGCCATGACCCACTCTGCCTTCCCCCACCTCCGCAACATCGCCACTTCCTCTCTGCTAAGGTCGCTAAAACCCTCATTCACGCGTTCATCACATCTAGGCTCGACTACACCAACTCCCTGCTGTAGGAGAGGGAGCTGGTTCTGCAGGACTAAAATTTATTAACATTCTAATGTAAATAAGAATTACTTTACAAATAGCTATTCCATCCAAGATGCCAAGATTGAGTCTTTCTTCACAATACTCACTCTAATAAGACAGAGTACTTTACTCAGTGCCCAGGGAAAAGCCAAATAGTGTGATTTAGATGTAAGAACCTTAATTATATTAACTATATTCTGGTTTTATGCCAATTGAAGAGTCTAAAACTCCCCAAATGAATGCAATACAGAATGTATTTGCTTTATGGTTCAGAATACATTGATTCTATTCCAAACTGTAATTTTATCACTGCATCTGAAGAATTGTTCATTTTAAAAAGAATGTGGCTTCTGGTTTTCAAGCTTATTTTTTAAAAATAATCAATTGAACCAGTGTACAGGCATGTAGAGAAATGTTAACCGCATTCAACAAAGAACAATCATGTCGCACTCAAAGCTTCTGATGTATTATAACTATTTTTTAAAAGTTGCATTCATGAAAATTGTACTCAGTGCCTTTGCAGGATGACTGTTAGCAACTTAAGAGTAGTAATATGGTTATAAAATGTAAGTAAATCATTTGACTGGTTAATTGGAATCCATTCAAATTCTCATTTCTACAGAAAGAATTGAAAGTTTCAGTACCTTGCTGGACATGAAAACATCTGCAATTTCACCCATTCCCAACCTCATTAACCATTTCATTTGATTTAAAATAACACATCTTTTATCGCTCAGCTGTCTTTAAAAAGAATAAATATGCATCATATTCTAATTCATGCTGCAGAGTTTCTACTAAATAAAAATCTTCAGTACCAAACCAGAAAAAAACAGACAGTAAACTAAAGCGTACAGCATTCTCAAATGAGCTTTTTCTTTATCTGCAACACTGAGAATAAAGGAGTAAAGGAACAGGAGATGGCAACTCAACAGCAACAATTTTCCATTTGTATACTGTAGTACTTTTCACGTAGACCATCTCGAAGTACTTTACAAGGCGCAAAAACTGAGGGGAATGAAAGCCATTCAACCTATTCCACCATTGTAGAGGATGATGAAAAATCCTTTAAAATCCCATTTCCTTGCTTTTATCACTCTTACATTCCGAGTGCCTATCCATCTATCTCCTCATTAAGCATCGATTGATTTTGCATTGAAAGCTTTCTGGAGCAGGGCATTCCATCTTCTCACTACCCTCTGTGTGCAGAATTGTTATATGATTATACTTTTAACCAGTTTAACTCTCATTTTAAGACTATGCTCCCTTGTTTTAGATACTTCTGTTAGAACTCCCTCAATATTTTAAATACCCTAATTAGATCATCTCTCAGCTTCCAAATTTCAAGCAAATATAATCCAACCTGTTTTCATACCTTCTCTAAATCTCCTTCTTCAAGATCTAGGCCAGAAACTCATGTGTCATCTCAAGTGAGTTCTAATTGATGGACCTATAGTCAATACTATAGTCAATTGGTCTCTGGAAGAATCTCAGCATTTAACAACCAGTTGATACTTTATTCACAATAGCTAGTATTTATAGCTATAGAACCATAGAAATGTAAAGTACAGAAGGAAGCCATTCAACCCTCTTTGCCCGTGCTGACTCTCTGAAAGTGTTATCCATTTAGTCCCATTCTGATAACTTTGCCCCGTACCAAATCCTTTCACATCTCTACTCATGGAAACCTATTCATTCTGTTTCTATATTTCATGTTGCAAGGTACATTATTTTAGAAGTAAACTTTTAATTTCCGATCTAGGTACAAAGAGTACTATTTGTTTTTAGAAAAACACTGTCGACCAGAATAACGTTTTGAACAAAGTGATAACAAAATCCTCTTCTCACTAAATGGAGCATTGATACTAACCTAAAGTATCTACAGTATTTATAGTAGCTTCAGGCAAAAAAACGCAGTGAGCAGAGGGACTCGGATACAGTGGTGGAAAATGGGACTTGGCAGCCTACAGCAGAAATACATCAGGTAGCATTACACACAGTGCACGGAGGAATATCCAGCCTGAACAGCAAGAGAGATCAACCACCCACGCCAGTAACAAACTGCACACTAGTTTATGGATTGGTGTCAGGTATTTTTTAAATTTATTTTTACTTGGAAGCAGTTTGAACTAAAGCTCTACAAAAACTGTTTCACACATCTGACACAGTCTTTCACTTTGTCCTTTTTATTGGGGTCTGATATTAAGGATAGTGCCAAAAACTGCACACTGCTAAAATGATTAACTGGAAGTCTACTGACAAATATCTGCATTCACTATCGTTAGGGCTGGGGAATGAATGGAACACTTTCCACTTTTCTTCCCCACTCATTGGCAATATGAGGTTATGCATGAGGTTGGAATAAATCTCCCTCTACCCTGACTCAGCAATGAATCGGAACATCAGATGGGCACATATCCATTTCCAATATCACCAGTCTTTCTGGTACCTGGAAAGAAGAGATGCAGTTGAGTGCAGCATTATAGACAATTTTATGATGTAGATGTCTGCACCATGACCAGATTTGAGAGCGCATAATCTAATTACAGCTAGAATAGAAAACAGATTTTAATCCATTCAATCTAATCTGGAATTTATCCCAAATCCCAAATACAAAAGGACAATTGAATCACTGAGTCCCAATCCCCACACAAAAGCAAACAAGTTCAGGTTCATCGTGTGAAAGGTTTGACAGTGAACATTTACCATGTAATTTCTTAAAAAGGTACCTTATGGATAGGGATGAAAATACTAATGCATATTTAACCAGAGCCCCAAACTGCCTGGTCAGAAATCTTAAACAAAACAATCTACAATAAAAGTTTTAAATTGGTCAACTGTTCTTCTCTATGTAAACAATCTCTGTGATGTGGTATTGAGCTCTTTAGATTAGGAAGATCCCAGGTGTGATCTCTTGTGTGTGTTTTAGCTGATTTCAGCCATGTAACAAAAGGAGCAATACAATTAGCATCAGTTTCCTGAGCTGGGGATCCCTTGCTAAAAAGTGAGCATCCAGTGCGCACAGGATCAAGTACCTCTGTGACAATTCCTCTCCTCCCCCTCCTTTTGACACTATTGAAAAAGAGAAAGGACATTGCTATGTGCAAATTGGCTGCCACATTTTCCCACAAGAACACAGTCACTACACTTTACAGAAAGCTCTGTGGAATATTTTGAAATGTTTCAGCAATATAGGAGCCATATCAAATGCAAGAATTATTATTATTGCTGTTGTAATGTTCCCTCCCTGACCAACAATGTTTGACCAGACTTAAACATGAAGAGTGGTCACTCAGGGGAGAATTCAGAGTTTGGACTGGAGCAGTAAACATGCAGCCTTGGATAATACAATAAGTTTGATTACTTTTAAGTAGATGAAGATTTGAAGATAATTACCAGAACCAATGGTCTGTTACACTTCAGAAACAATGCTGTTCCACCTTCTTTGAAATATACCAGAAACAATAATTTAAAAATGTGCAACTTACCGGACACTGAAATCATATGAACAGGAGGCCAGTGCAGAAGCATGAAATGGAGAAAACTGCGAAGAGACACAAATTGCAAATCACCTTACAATGCTGAAACCGTGATCAAAGCACAGGTACTTAACATTATTTATAAACTCTACTGCATTCAGACATTTAGCTTGTTGCTTCCAAATGTATTGTAACAGATTATGGATTGGCAGTGTGGAAGATGGCTATGGTGGGTCCTTTGCACTGTATCTGAGGTGGGGGGGAGAGGGGGCACAGTGCCGTATCAATCACAAACTGCTGCATCGTCCCTCCTCACTCTAGGACCCGGGAAACAAGTCCTAACCACATGGCAGGCTCAGAATCACGGGGAATTCAGCAAAGGCCTTTGCCCAACTAGCTGGTAGAACAAATTGGTGTAAGTATTGTTGGGGGGGGGGGGGGGGGAATACAAGAACACTGAAAATAAAATGGTTTAATAGATTTAACATTTAAAATAAATTGTATTGCATTTTATCCAAGTGGCATAGCCAGCCACTGCACAAAAAATGTTTGTACAAAGTAAATCATTCCCCAGTGACAAGCTACCAGGCTTCTCTGCTGGAGTATCTAAACACAGTAAATCCACTTACTTTGGCTCTTCGGATAGCATAGGAATGGCCAGCAAGATGATGTATTGGCTGTCGAACATTCCTCAGGTCCCAGCATCGCAAGGTGCAGTCGACTGCTCCAGTAACAAGCAAGTTCTGAGTTTGAAAGATTGAGATTAAACACAATTTAATGACCATTAAAGTTTAACATGAATTCTCTGCCACGGCTTTAATAATAACAATAATCCTTGCATTTGATATTTCACGTCTTATCGACGTCTCAAAGCGCTTCACAGAATATACTGTAAAGTGAATTGACCGTATCGTTGTGGGCAAAACGCGGCAGCCAATTGCTCACAGCAGTGTCCCACAAACAGTTGTGGATTGAAAATAACCAATTTATTATTGTTTTTTGTTTTGGAGGGATTATTATTTTAAATAACAATAAATAACAATATGTATTATATTATAATAAATATAATAGTATTATAGTATTATAATATTAATATAAATATATTATTTTAATATTAATATAATAATGACCCACCAATTATCCCACTTGAGGCATGTTAGAAGTTACAAGATGGACAAACATTCGCCGCTACACCTGACTAAGCCAAGCCTAACACAAGTACTCCCTGGGAGAAGCCTCCAATTAATAGCTCAAAACTCCAGTGTTGGAATTGGAATTATTTAACCATTCATCTTTGGTGCTTGTTTTTTATTAAATAAATAATAAATAACAATCCATATCAATCATCACTAACCAGATGATATAAAAATGTTCTAACTAAAAATAGACTTATTTTATTGACTTATTTTATCTATGCGTCCTCACCTGGTCATATTTACCCCAGTCACAAGTCAGTATTTCTGCTTGATGAGCAGGGATGACTATTCTGGCTCCTGCCATCTTCATATCCCAGATGCGTAGAGTATTATCACCTAGAATTACATTCACAACATAGTTTGTTATTTTCTCTCCTTCACATCAGATACCCAGCAGCTGAAGTGAGGTTAGAGATGTGAAGCGGTCCAGAATGTGAATAACCTGTCAAATGTTGCCAGTATTTGGTTCTTAGCCGACTCACCAATTATCCCATTTGAGGCATGTTAGAAGTTGCAAGATGGACAAACATTCGCCGCTACACCTGACTAAGCCAAGCCTAACACAAATACTCCCTGGGGGAAGCCTCCAATTGATAGCTCAAAGCTCCAGTGTTGGAATTGGAATTATTTGACCATTCATCTTTGGTGCTTGTTTTTAATGTCCGCTAACGCCACAATATATATACATCATTATTGCAGCATTTTAAAAAGCTGCTGTTTTAACAAAAAGTTGAATGAAAAAAACTAATCTAAATTATACATAAATGTTTTTAATTTTCTATTTGTTACTATAACTATTTAAATCGCTTTTTTAAATCGTTCGTTCACTTTATGCTGGTCTGTGGTAGCTAACTGTTAAAACATGATAAGGCCTCTTAATGCAAGAAAATGCAAGGATTATTATCAATATTACAACTAAAGATTCCAGGATAGCATCATCCCCAAAGTGATTACTAGAAGGAAGCACAATATAGACATGAAAGATAGACGGAATCTTTAACATCCCTGAATAGGCAGATGGGATCTCGGTTTAATATCTCATCTGAAAGATGGCACCATCGACAAATACCTCTTGAACTAGAGAGGAGATTGCAGCCAACAAAGACAATCTAACATACTAATGGAGCCAAGCTGACGTATATGAGAAGCAATGAAGAACATAAGAAGAGAACTGTTTGAGGCCAGCAGGGGAGAGTGGCGTTGAGCAATGTCAGGAAAATGGATAGGAAGCAGAAGGGGTACCCAGTGACAAGGTTGATCAGAAAAATGTTAAATGAATTTTGTCACACATACATGGTATTATGTAGAGCAGCAATTGTATCATGAACTTCATTTTAACATATGCATTGGTCAGAAAATAAATTATTTTATTCTGAAACTACCACATTTCAAGGGCTTTGAGACATGCTCCTGACGTGAAAGGTGCTATATAAATGTAAAATGCATTCTATTACTATTCTGCTTCCTTTTGAATTTTGCATTGGAAAAATCAGTGTTAACCAAATAACTTTATTCCACAGAATAAAGTAAGTTGGTTGAGAGAAACAAGCTAATGGCTGTTAAAGAAAAAATATTGATACTACAGTGAAAGGCTGCAGAGTTCTGCTGTGGAAAGTAACCTGGTTACACTTATCTGCAGGATGTATAATACACAATCATTATCTCAGGTTTTTGTTTACATTAACAACAAAAGCCATGTTCTTTGTCTTTGTTCAGTACACGTTTGTGAAGGGTTGGATTATTTGACTTCCAGAATTTAGTGTTCATTGACAAGATTGAAGGAACCGTATGTAACCATTAGGAATGAATCTTTATGGCTCAAATACCGAAAATAAATTTTGCAGAAAGAGCCCTTTAGCACCTGTCACTCAAAGCCCAAGCAGGTCCCTGGGACACTTGGGTTACTGGATGATATTCATGAAATATTCATATTAGATTGTGGATGTTTATCAGCAACATTATAGATCAGCAACTATGTTAGGATGAATGGTTCGTAACTATTTCGAGACTGATTCCCTCCAAAAGATGCTCTTCAATGTCAGTATTATTTATTTTGTGCAAAGTCTTACTTTGTGCAAAGAACAATGAAAACAAAGTTGAGGGCCTGTCAGGAAATGATGCTGAAGGTGACTGAACCCTTGAATATATTTAATAGTCAGCGTATGTTCAAATGGCTCAGCAATTTTCTCAAAGGATTAAAGAGACTCATCCTCACTAACATGCTCCGAGGTAGAATTCAATTATGAGCGTAGGCTTTGTGTGGCAACAGCTGCAGTATTCGGGAAATGGGATGTTGGCTTTTTAGTTTTGTGCATTCACATGAAATCTCATCTCCTGGTCTCCATGTAACAAAGTATGATAAATGGACACTGCATTCATTAACTAATGCCCTGTTTGAACTATTAGCCAAAGCGCTGAGAAGAGATCTTTCCATTCACAGTTCTCTTTGTTACGTTCTCAACAAACAATGTGTAGAACACTCTTTTATTTTAGGTTTTCATTTACACAATCCAATAGTCACACCCAACACCCTCTAATCAGTTCTTCCTGCTTTCTCTCCCTCGTGATCTCCCTCAATTGGTCCTTATTCATTAATTAGTATCCAACACTCTTTAATTACAGAGCTGTTTGCATTTATTGCTATTTATGAATGGTTATTTTCTGTTATGAACATGTTCATTCCTACAACTCTGCAAACGGTTTACACGGGCCTGAATTGAGAACAGCACACCATGTACCAGGCTTGCTAGTAAAAGAAAACAACATTCATTTCAAGAATCATTACTCATGCAATGCACAATACAATACAAAAGTACAGTTGTATAGTGCCTTTCACGTCGGGAGGATGTTCCAAAGTGTTGGACAGGCAGGGATTTGGACCCGAGCTGGGTGGTTGGAATTAGGGAGGGTGGAGAGCAGGGAGGATATCAACACCAATCCTCGTATTGTTGTTGGATAGGCAGCTCCCTACCTATCCAATTTGCTTACCCCCCACCAGCACTCCACCACCCGCTGCCTCCGCTCAGCCAGCTCCAGCCTCTTGTTCGTCCCTCATCCCCTCCGCTCCACCATTGGCGCCAGTGCTTTCTGTCACCATGCCCCGAAACTCTGGAACTCCCTCCCTCAATCCCTCTGTCTTGCCTCCTCCCTCCCCACTTTCAAATCCCGCCTAAAGACCTTCCTTTTTGATCATACCTACAATCACCTCTCCCCTCCCTCTCCCACTGGTTCGGGGTCAGACTCCACAACTGTCAAGCGCTCCGGGACACTAGCCCGAATGAAGGACGCTATACAAGTTGTTGCATTTGATATAGCACCTTATCGCACCATCAAGACATTTCAAAATGTTCAAAGGATATACTATAAAGTGATGAAACTGTATGTATTTTGTGGGTGAATGAGAGCCAATTTGCACACAGCAATATTTTCTATAGTCACATGAAAATAATATTCAAGAAAGATTTGAGAATTATAGTTTTTTTTTGCAAAAATGTCCGCAATTTTCTATTGGCCCAGGTTATATTGGGGTTCTACTGTATATTTTAACAAACAAACACCGGTGTTTTTGACAAAAATGCTCCAGATACATTTGGTCAATCATTTTGTGGCTCTTGATGGACATCTGCTGTGTGCAAATTGGCTGCCACGCTAACCTACAAATACAGACACTATACTTGTCAGTAAGTACTTATGAAGCACTTTGAGTAGAATCGACATTATTGCCACTAAACCAAATGCAAGGATTATTATTGTGATTATAAAACTATTAATGGTGCAGATATGAAATTAAGACAGAAATCCTGAAAATCCAGAACTGGTCAATCAGAAAGAGAAAGATAGAAGGTTCAAGAATAAGAAGAGTAATCCTTAGATTTGATATAGCACCTTATTGTGTCTTTGATACGTCTCAAAGCGCTTCACGGAATATACTGTAAAGTTAATTGACTGTATATCTTGTGGGCAAAACATGGCAGCCAATTGTGCATAGCAGAGTCCCGCAAAAAGTCGTGGTTTGAGTGACCAAATTATTATTATTTATTTTGAACAAATTTCTATCCCTGGAAACTGGTAATATCAGTCAGGGAGGTCTGGTATGGGATGGGCACTATATCAATTTAAGTTGTTGGCATTGTTGAAAATGCCACACTGGTGCAATAGTGGGTGATCTTCTAAAATTGAGGCACACTGAGGCAACAACAACAAAATTACATTTGTATAGCACCTTTCACGTCAGGACGCAAATCACAGATGTTGTTATTCTGCATCAAACTGGGTTGTACTTGAACTGAGGGTACATGATGGTGACATTGGGTTGACTCCAAGATGACACATCTGGCATTGAAGGATCAGAATCACAAGATTGGCTTGGATGAAGAGGTCCCTTTGGCCCATTTGATCTCATCCCTCCAGAATATCCCCCCTACCGTCCTCCCATCACAGCACAAGCTACTTTTTAAATGACCGTGTCCCGGTCTCAACCATTCTTCCAGGCAACCTAGTCCAGGATCAGTATTGGGACCACTCCTCTTTCTTATATATATTAGTGATCTGGACCTGGGCATAGAGAGCACTATTTCCAGGTTTGCAGATGATACAAAGTTAGGTAGGGTAGTAAATAGTGAGGAGGACTGTAACCAACTGCAAGCAGACATACACAGAATGGTGGAATGGGCTGACATGTGGCAGATGGATTTCAATGTGGATAAATGTGAGGTGATACACTTAGGTAGGAAAAATGATAGGAGGTAATATAGACTTGGTAGCTCAATCCTAAGGGGGGTGAACGTACAGAGAGATCTGGGTGTACAAGTATGCAAATCATTAAAGGTAGTGGGGCAGGTCGATAAGGCAGTAAAAAACGCATTTGGTGCACTGAGCTTTATTAGTAGGGGCATAGAGTATAAGAGCAGGGAGGTCATGGTTAATCTATACAAAACACTGGTTAGGCCTCAGCTGGAGTACTGCGTCCAGTTCTGGGCACCTTACTTCAGGAAGGACATTAAGGCACTGGAAAGGGTGCAGAGGAGATTCACGAGAATGATACCAGGAATGGGGAACCTTAGCTATGAGGACAGGCTGGAGAAGTTAGGACTTTTCCCATTAGAGCAGAGAAGGTTACAAGGGGACCTGATAGAGGTCTTCAAGATCATGAAAGGTTTCGACAGGCTAGATAGGGAAAATAATAATAATAATAATAATAATAATAATCCTTGCATTTGATATAGCGCTTTTCACGTCGGGAGGACGTCCCAAAGCGCTTCACAGACACACTGTAAAGTGAATTGACTGTATATTTGTGGGCGAACGCGGCAGCCAATTGCGCACAGCAATGTCCC